ACTGTGGAAGGGTTGTTCTGGAGGTACCTGAAAAGGAAATCGGATTAGAGGTGGTCTTAGTGACCTGGGAGCGTGACCGCAGTGCCCAAGGGAAAACTGCTTGAGGTCGGTTACACACGACCTTTTTATGGGTAATTTTCGTGTTAGCTCCGTATTTGTTGAGACCTTACCACCGGAGACGGATATCCGTGGGATAAGGCGAGGTGTGCATTTTTAGGGTCGACCTTTTCTAACCCCACCCCTCCTTGTGGGAAAGCAGCATCGCTGTCATGCTGATTGTCTGAAGGAAACACCTTACTGCTGTCACACCTCTGTACAGTCAGCAGTACGACTTCGCCTTCGGACCTTGGGTTTGTTGCTTTTAGTCTTACCGCTCTTCAACCGACCTGTCTGACATGGTAGGACCTTGAGGAACGGTTGTTCCAGCCAGTATAGCTCGGTTGCTTCATTACGATAGGCAAGCCCGACCACCACGTCAAGGTAGCAACAACGGTCGTGACTGGAATACATAGGAGATTAAGATAAGAACAACATAAGACTCGATAAATTGTGATATTGTTCAGACTACCATATTCTATATATAGAAAGACAGAAATCGAAAATAATTTGTGCGAATGAAAGAAGAAATATTTACACCAACAAAGAGCAAAAACTAAAAAGAGACCTTTTTTAATTTATACGAGTTGAAACTTTTTTTTAGCTGATATTCAGGACAAAAACCGAACACTCTACTTTGGTGTAGGAATTCTTTAAAAGGATTATACTCTGACTTTTACATATTAACATTTTGAATGGTGAATAGTGAAATCTAGAACATGTCAATTTAATCATGAATACGAACAACAGAACAATGGAAAATTCTTACAAATAATAAAATAACGTATTGGAAGAACAGACTAGTTAGACATCACGATTCAGTGGTCTGATGGATACACTCTTCAGCGTTTGAAATAATAAGTACTACGTTCGAGTGCTAAGAGGAACATCATAGGTATTCATGAACCTCTTACACGATAGAAAATATAGATTTTAAATGACACTGTTAGTCACTAGCCTTAATACAACAAGATATCAACATAACAGTTGTAAACAGATTCACATTCACGGTTATACATGAACTTTTGCATTGATATCACATGTTGTTATACTCTTACATAATTTAACTTGGTATGTTATTCATATGAAGATCACATTTTTGTATCTCAAAGGAGGAAGAAAACAAACTCGGAATTGAATTCGATTGGAGCTCATGTTTAACAATGTTAGCAAAGTTAAAAAATACATTTTTGCAGAGGGATATATATTAAGATAGGAGGGAAAACATATGTATTAAGACTGATTAAAAGGAGTCAATTGACTATATTGCTTAAAATAAAGTATTGTGAAAATAGAATCTATTGTACAAACTAAAAAGTAATACATCTTTCACGTAAAACGTAAACATCTAATGAATATGTGTATACACAATACCACTTGGAAAGATATGCATATTACATCCAATTATCAACATAATTACTATGTAAAATGGTCTATTTTGAAATGTTACTCTATCACGCAGATCCAAATAAACAGAGGAAAAGCGGACAATAGAAACTAATCATAATAGAAGTGACCTTGATTTACCTAGGTCCGATACTTAACGTTGCTCATCAAAAGATAAAAACATCAGCTCTTTCAACCTTCACGTTTTATGTCTGAACTCCCTCTACTTACCTCAGTTTTGGCAACCAAATAGTACACTGAATCTCATACAAATGTGGCTTAAAGCAGATTACATAAGCGTGTAATTAGTGAATTATATTAAAGTACATGTCAACAAACTAAACAGAATAACTTGGACCTCTTGTAAAACACGAGTCTGGTGAACATCTATAGATTGGACGATTTACAAGAAAGTGGTGTCCGTCAAGGCTGCCCACTTTCTCCATTTTTGTTTAACTTCATCATAGACCTATTGATGGAAATAACACTCTCGTCGACTGAATTCTCGGGTATTGATCTCCTTCCAGGAGGTCCACTTATCGATTTAGAATACGCAGATGACATAGTCCTGTTTGGTGAAGACGCTGACAAAATGTAGAGTCTTCTGATAGCACTAAGCAACAATGCCAGAATGTTTGGAATGCGCTTCTCTCCCGCACTGAACAGAGAATTGACTGAAAGTGACTAAGTCTTGAGGCTGAACGACACTTGATATGAGGTGTTCGAAGTTTAATTTTTCTGAAATATTGTGACCAAATTTATTTGGAATCTTATTTGTAGATAATGAATCATCAAGGTAATTAGCATCTATCAAAATTGTATTAAGTTTTTGATCATCATTTGATGCATCTGACGTATTTTCTGGTAAAAGAGAATCTTGATAATAAGATTTGTCAAAAACATCTGTCGCAGACTGATGAGAACCATTTGAAGCAGTTGTATTCAGTGTACTGCTCGATTTGTTTTCTGTTTCATGGGTGGTTATTGTGACAATTCTATGAGCATTTACCAGAGAGTGTGTTTGTGAGCTGGATAAGTCACCGTCTGCACATGCTGTTTTGGGGATAATGGAGTTTGAGTCCATTACCGGGCATGTTTCTGGAATGGAGAGGACTGGACCACTGGGCGAATCTTGAGTGACTGTTGTACCGTTTGAAATACGGTTTATCGGGGATTCATTGGGGCTGCAATCATTTTCCAGCTCTGTGTGCAGTTGAGAGATCAGTCCATCCACTTCCGTTGCATCTCCAAAGCATGAGTGATTTAACAGCTGCGTGCGTAATTTGACTAAAAACTCCAACTGTCTTTCAAATAGCAGCTGTACTCGAACGGAAGGGAGAGACAGTTGGAGTTTTTAGTCAAATTACGCACGCAGCTGTTAAATCACTCATGCTTTGGAGATGCAACGGAAGTGGATGGACTGATCTCTCAACTGCACACAGAGCTGGAAAATGATTGCAGCCCCAATGAATCCCCGATAAACCGTATTTCAAACGGTACAACAGTCACTCAAGATTCGCCCAGTGGTCCAGTCCTCTCCATTCCAGAAACATGCCCGGTAATGGACTCAAACTCCATTATCCCCAAAACAGCATGTGCAGACGGTGACTTATCCAGCTCACAAACACACTCTCTGGTAAATGCTCATAGAATTGTCACAATAACCACCCATGAAACAGAAAACAAATCGAGCAGTACACTGAATACAACTGCTTCAAATGGTTCTCATCAGTCTGCGACAGATGTTTTTGACAAATCTTATTATCAAGATTCTCTTTTACCAGAAAATACGTCAGATGCATCAAATGATGATCAAAAACTTAATACAATTTTGATAGATGCTAATTACCTTGATGATTCATTATCTACAAATAAGATTCCAAATAAATTTGGTCACAATATTTCAGAAAAATTAAACTTCGAACACCTTATATCAAGTGTCGTTCAGCCTCAAGACTTAGTCACTTTCAGTCAATTCTCTGTTCAGTGCGATAAATATGTCTTAAATAAATTCAAGTTAATTATAACGTGGGCATATGAGGATCCAACACTGTTTCGTGGGGGAGGATGGACCTGGAAAACTTAAAATCCGGATATCGACTCCGGATCTTCTAAAAAGGGGAGGAGTGTTGGGGACGACAGATCCCCAAAACTCAAATTTTGTAATTTACTTATCGATTAAATGTGCAGATAGGTCAATTGATGAACTATCGATTAAACGTACAAATAGGTCAATTGATGAACTATCGAATAAATGTTCAAATAGCAGTCAATTGTTGATTAATGTTCAAAAATCTTTCATGACAATATCGATTGTAAATATTTGTATAAATACGCTTGATTTGTGTGCTTGACTTGACTTGTTATCTGCTGTTGTCTGTAGAATACATTTTCTACACCTTACCCAGACTTTTTGATCGAGTTAGCAGAGTTGGGGACAACGGACCAGAATAGACTATCGAGATTCTGAATCCTTGATCCGATCGATAAGTCACTGTCATATAATCGGCTGTCTCTTTGAGACATAACATTTTGCCTACTTACGTCACCTTTGGCGGAGGCGAGATATCCGTCTATCAATAAAAAGACGAGTATACTGCGCGGCAGTTCGTTCTGTTTTAATTTACGGCAGCGAAACATGGCCCTTAAGAGTAGTAGACACCCGTAAGCTACTAGTATTTGACCACAGATGCCCTAGAAATATTACTCGCATCTGCTGGGATCACCGGGCAAATAATTGTGATGTTAGACGCAGGGTATTAGGGAATGATGGTAAGTCAGTTGACGAGGTTGTGAATCATCATCGACTGAGATGGTTAGGCCACGTGTCACATATGCCTGAACACCGATTACCATGACGTGCATTGCTATCCGGTGTAGGGGATGGTTGGAAGAAAGTTAGGGGCGGCCAAACCAAAACGTGGCATCAGTGCTTGAAGACACTAACTACTGATCTGAGCCATGTTGGTGGATGCAGACTACTCGGTCGGGGTCTGCGTGACTATCGTAACCAACTCTTAGTAACATGGCTCAGAATCGATCACAATGGCGTCGGTGTATACACTCCCTGTCTTCCTTAAACTAAGAGATTAAAATCACTTCATATCTTTCTTTCTACGAACTAATTCTTTCTTCCTATACTATATCCTTATTGCAATCTTTCTCCTATATATTACCACCTTTGACCTAACCACTCCTATGAATCCGCTGTTCATCTTGCTGTGCTAATGAGGTATGGCAACCTGGACCGATGCACATATGTGCCTGGTCCTACGTTGTAGCTGACTGACTGACTGACTTACAGGAAAGAGTTCCATATATAAAAACACGCAAAGTTTGACAGTTAGTTGTGCTATCCAACTATCCAAAACCATAAAGTAAGATTGAGGTTCAAAATCAACACAAATAACTGAAGGTCAAATGTATAGACTGTTCGGCTGCTACTGCATTATAGTAAACTTCAGAGAAATAACAAGAAATGAGGTTAACAAGTCCAAATAATGTGAAAAAATTAGTACCTTCAGACTGAATTTGATTCATATTTTTGTCTTCAACAACCATAGGAATATGATATTTTAACTGGATTTCCAAACTACGTAATTCTTTAGCCAACTGTTCAACGGTCCTCTCCAACGTTATACAACGTTCTTGTTCTAAAACAAGTTGTCGATTGAATCGAGCATAAGTTCCAGTTAAGAACTGCAACGCTTCAGTAGACGCCTATGAAGCAGAGAGAAATTACAGACATGTATTTAGATGAACTTATGATTCAATTAAACAATAATTTCAAAAAACCTCTTGATAAGTAGATATAAGAAATCTAAACCAATAATAAGATTGTCAAAAACACGTTAGCAGTAACTGAATAATCAAAAAAGATTTGATTATGATCTCTAGATTCCCGTCTAGATCAGTCGCCAACTAGATTTTACTGAAAGGGAAATCACTTGAAGTGCATAAAACGTTCAACGCTAAAAAAATATTTGATGAAAATGTCGAACACAGTGGAAAATACTTTTAGTTGTACAGTGTATTTATTTTATTTATTTATTTGAACACATAAATATTGGTACAATAGAGCGCCAATATAAATAAGCCACACAAAACAATGAGAATTCGAAGAGAAAAAAAGGTAAGGGGCGTAAAAAAAAGAGAACAATAACGAAGAGATTGGTGTAAGGTAGTGTGGTTGTAATAAGGGAACGGAAAGGTACAATCGGAAGAAATCTTTCAGTTAAAGGAGACACAACCACTTTTATGAAGAAAGTAAAGGAAGGTTACAGCAGGATCGCCACTGGCTTCTATTCTGAGCCAGGTATGATAACTTATCTAGCCACTGTGTTGCACCATCTCTCGGACCCCAACCAGGGAGTCGTGAAGGACCAACACAAGCCAGCCCTCTGCAGCTTTCTTTCATGCCACGACATCATCTCATGCACTGACCACCTCTGCGCTTCTTCCAACCAGTCCCAGAGTCGGCAAATAATGCACGACGTGGATATCTCTGGGACGACATTCGTAGAACATGTCCAAGCCACCAAAGTCGGTGTTTCAAGATGGTGGCATCGATTGCATTGTCGTCTCTGTGCCCGAACACACGGTGCCGAACCTCTGCATTACTGACATGGTGTTGCCACTGGATGTCAGCAATCCTTCGGAGACAGCGATGACCGAACACAGAGAGTCGTCTAACGCCCTCAACTCGGAGAGACCAGGTTTCACAAGCATAGAGTAAAACTGCTCTCACTGACGCGTTGTAGATCCGACCTTTTACGGCCAGACTAACATCACGAAGGCGCCATAGATCGCCCAGATTGGCATAAGCCGCTCTGGCTTTCACTATTCGGACATTGATTTCATCACTCACACCCCCACCAGCACTTATGTAGCTACCCAGATACACGAACTTTTCGACTACTTGTATCTGCTCACCATCCAGGGTGAGTACAGGATTGGAATCCTGCCAGTCTTGTAGGAGTACTTTGCACTTCGAAGGTGCAAAGCACATACCATACCTACGGACATTGATTGCCAACTGATTAAGTGCGGATTGCATGGCTTGAGCATTATCGCACAGTAAGACAATATCGTCCGCATACTCAAGGTTGAGAAGTCTTTCTCCAGGCAACAGATACACACCACCATTACTTACATTCATCAGAGCTGTTTCCAGAATGTCATCGATAGCAAAGTTGAAGAGGAATGGTGAGAATGGGCCTTGTACCTTTCCGTTCCCTCATTACTACCACACTACCTTACACTAATCTCTTCGTTATTGTTCTCTTTTTTTACGCTCCTTACCTTTTTTTCTCTTCGAATTCTCATTGTGTTTGTGTGGCTTATTTATATTGGCGCTCTATCGTACCAATATTTATGTGTTCAAACAAATAAATAATTATCAGAATGGGTTTTGCGGAGATTTTAGAAATTTCAGATTGAAATCATGAGTCAGTTGAAGCTAGACCACCATCGAAAACCTGGAAGCACTGGACGGCCGTTTCGTCCTAGTATGGGACTCCTCAGCAGTGTGCATCCACGATCCCGCACTACGCGGGTCTCGAACTCGTGGATTGGTTGAAGTTAGACATTAACACCGTTGGATGCCGGCTCAGTGGTCTAGTGGTTAAGTGCTCGCGCGCGAAGCCAGTAGGTCCTGAGTTCGAGACCCGCGTGGTGCGGGATCGTGGATGCACACTGCTGAGGAGTCCCATACTAGGACGAAACAGCAGTCCAGTGCTTCCAGGTTTTCAATGGTGGTCTAGCTTCAACTGACTCATGATTTCAATCTGTGAAATAAATAATTAATTAAAATAAAATTAACTGACTAAACAATCAATAGTAGTGGTGTTTATTTTCGACCGCAATAACATATTATACAACGGCACAGAAGTTATGTTTTAATTTCTCGCTTTCGAACCATACACCAGTATAAACCATTGTAAGTATTTAGTGGTTAGCATAAACGAGTTATTTTATCTTCGATGAAGGACAAAAATCGAAATATATAGATCCAAATAAATATTTACCGAAACAAAACACATAGTAGATCAAGAAAGCAGTACTTCTTAACAAAATGGTAAGAAATTCAACAATTTAATTGGTTATGTCTTTGCACCACGCAAAACATGATAGTATGAACTATCTTTGTATTTTTGAAACAGGCATATAACTCTTTATGTTCAATAATCTCTACACTATTGCCCAATACACTTAAGTTTACATACAAAATACAGTTTAACAATTGGTCATTGCCTCATGAATCAATCCACTTATATTTTCTTGTATGAAACGAATTCACTCAAAGAATTAAATTTGATGATTTATGTTTTCATTCTTAGTAGTCTAGCCTAACTAGTAACATATCTTACGAACTTTATAAAATAATAAAAATTGTTTCATTAAAATTATAATGCACAATATAATCTAGTAAGTGTATGCAAATTAATGTATCAGTGTAATCTTAAATATAGTTAGTCAGTTCATTTATGTCCAATCAATAAAACAGATAAACATTATCACAAACAGAAATCCATCAATATCTCATTATGTTTACTATGTCTTTCTGTCTAACAGGTTTATATAGAGTGACAGATATAGACAACATAAAACAATCCAATAAAAAGTGCATCCACTTCGCTTAAACTCCGCACTGCCGCATTACACAAAATTATATCTCCAAAGACATTTCATAGCTAAAGGATAGGTAAAAACGAAGTGCCGTACAATTTTGATTAGTTAGATATTCAAACGTGGCCACAGTTAATACAAAATTAAAAATGCCAAATGGTCCTCCTATCAGAACTGATTAAAAGCTTTAAACAAGTTCAGTCGTTTTACTTGATATTCGTAAAGTATATCATGAAGTAGACGAGTCTCTAAGCACCAGTAAATACTTAATCTAGGCAAATAATCTACGGATTTTCAGTTAACGAGTCCAAGTATTCTCATTGTATTCTGAATAGATAAAAACTCAATTACTGACTCAATCTTTTTCCAGCCAAGGGTATAAACCACTTTACACACAACTACGTCGAAAAAAATTAGGATAATATAGTGACTATCTTACTTCAGCTAACTGTTATCATGTATGAAATTTCAAATCTGTTAATAGTATTATCAAACAAATTATTATTATGGTTGTGACAGAAAATAATCAACATGTGTTTAACTACCTAATACTGTGGTGTGTGCTACTTATATTGACATAATTAGTATATGACGTTAGTCGTGAACAGAAGGTCTGGCAGCAGAGAGACAAGAGGATCGAACAGTAAAGAATGGAAACAGGATGCGATTTGTATGAAGATGCAAGAACAATGAAGTCTGAGTCATTTTGAGACAACTGATGGACATTTTGCAAACTAAGTATTTACTTTATGATTGTTAGATTTTATTAACAAGTCTCGTAATTTTGTGTTAAATACATTCGATTGTCCCCACGAGTGTTCTGTTCACTACAATATCTGGAACTAAAAGTGTTTCTTTTTTACTTGAGTTATGCACACTTGACATATTTTACTGTCGACCTTGAGGTCACTAAGTCGAGAAGCAAATATGTCACTTGCAAACCTTTTTCAGAACGTAAGGCTTTATATAATAATCGCTATTTATCAACCGAGCATGAATGCTTATTATTTCACAATGGCTACATTGATTTCAATGAATTGATATGCTCTACTATATTTGCTTAGTCATAAAAATTTAAGGAAACAGAATAACACTTGGATTCACTTCAATTCGATGGAGATAAGGATGTAATAAGGGCGAAGTAACAGTGCACGAACGCAAAAATATAAACATGAGAAAGGATATTATATGAGTAGAACAAAACAAAAGGAATTTAATCACATTAATTTCAATAAACATTCTTTGGGTACATATTTCAATACTGAAATGTAAATTCCAATGGCTTAAAAGCTGTAAGTTTCAAATCTACACACTTTGTAATGTTTGGGTAAATTTTCTAGACAAAACCAGGACATCAGATTGTGTGAAGTAGAAATATATGTTACATACCCCTACCGAGAGAACTATAAAGTTATATTTTCAAATGTATGTGTAGAAAACGAAAATATGTGTTCGTGAAAGTACTGCGTTCGTAGAAAAAATTAAGAGGTATATAGCATTAATTTTTTTCCAGTGGTGACAGAGTAAACTTGACAATTTTTGTATTGACAGATTTCCATTAAACTAAATGTCCATGAAGTTGTCTGTAAGACCCATATGATAAAATGATCTAAATTTCATGGCTTCAATAATAAAACAGTCAAAGTGGTCGCTTTCAGTCCGGTTATCCTTCATAATATTTAGTTTTCATTGATTTAGACACCATAATTAACAAACAGGAATATCCAAACGCGTTTCCTTAACACATGCTACAAAACATATCTCACAATACTCGGCTTGCAAAAACATTTTGAGCCGTTACCACCAAAGATATTGCATGCCGAAGTCGGGTTCCATGAAAAGCTGGTTGTTGAGTTTAACAAATATGATTGTGGTGGTAAGGAGTATACACACCTCCCTTGTTTTTGGAAAATTTCCCAACTTCAATTATATTCTCTTCAGGATGTATATAGCAGGTATACTTTTCATTGTTAGCTCACAAAACACCTATTTTATAGTGAGTGACCTTCTATTTTTACCAAACCTCATAGCTCAGTAAGCAATAAATTTTACCAAATAAATAAATACTTCTCCAACTTCAAATGTTGAAGATAGTATTCTTTAACTTAAACAGTAAAAAGGCTGCAAAAACAAGGAAGTGACACTATGTGAAAATCTACTTAATTTTGCCAGAACTGCATCTTTTACACCTTAAACAAAACAAACGATTAATGTATGTAAAATATTAACACATAGCAAATAGTCAACAGAATGATAAGAGTTGCTTTACAGTAACTAGTCAGCATCGTTTAAACAATAACTCGAAAGACAAGCGCAGTTTTATGGCTTAGGCAGAATGGATCACACGTCAAACGAGAACGATAAGCAAGGATTTTTAAAAGACATTGAAAAGCTACATGAATATTCACAACACGCACTATCGGGAAAAAAACAAATTATTACGACAAATATGGAAGAAACTAACCTCGTAAAATTCTTTTGCGTCGTTACGATGTTCGAGTAAGGCAAGTTTAAGAGAAGTAGTCCGTCTTTCTAGGTCTGAGGCAGAAAACTGATCATCTGAATCCAATGGGAATGAACGTGGCTGCAGCAGCAAACTGGATAATTCACTTGAGACTGATGTAAGCATTGACTCGATATTACTGACTTGAGAACAAATGTTACTAATGTGATCATGTAGGCGTCTCTTCAAAGCCTCTATAATTCCTAAACGGTTGCTGTCTTCAATTGAAATGACATATTGACGGGACAAACGTCTTCCTGTATCACTTTTTATCTTGAGGTCATTGGTAGAAACATTTGGTTCATGCACAGGGAGAGAAAATGAATTTGATACTGGAGCATCTAACACACACCTAGAATCGGATTTCGATAAATCGTGCTTCAGCTTTATTCTTCGGAACTTCTGACTAAAAGTTGAATTACATAAACCGTCGTGTGAACACGATTGGTTAGCACATTGACAGTTATTCAGTGATATTGATTGGTTAGCAAGCGGTTGAGGTAGAACTGGAAAACTGGTTGTTTTAATATCCAACTTTGGTCGACCTTTAAGAGTAAATCTGAAAGAATTTCGCTTACAAATGTTCTCTTTGTCTGGTCGAAGTATGTTAAATGATGAATAATCTGACTCAATCTCTAAATTTTTAATAAAAAGAGGATTTTTGGAGTAAAACAAATAATTATATATGGTGAAGACTAAGGATGGACGTAACAAGATTGAGACATCTTAAGATATATAACTTTATTCTTTATGATCTTGGAGTTGTAACAAACTTCAAATTCAAAAAAGTGATTTGGTTTGAAGTTGGTAGGGAAACGAGATGGTTTTCAAGTACGTCTCGTATAACAGCATAAAAATGTTGCTCAGAGTTATTGAGTCTCTAATGACTGACTATGATTTTCAAGCAAACTTGAAACAGGAAAATGGCACTTGTCCTAAGACAAACCACAGTCAATTGTTTTATAAAGTGATGCTTCGCCTCAGTCTTAAAATACCAATATTTGTCAACAAGGTTTGCACTCTAGCTAGTATACTATAATTAATTAGGAGGCTGTTTGTTATTCATGAATAGCACAATTATCTAGAACAATACTACATCAGTAATACATAGCGTTAACCTGACACATGCATCGGTTCAAGTTACGACATTATCATAGTAAAACAAATTATCAAAGCAAATCCCAGAGTTGTAGAGGCAGTAACCTGTGAATATCTATTGTTAAAGGTCCAGGTCCGAAACAAGAGTAGTTTTCTTGGATTTGCTTTTCATTATTCAAACTGATTACTCTGTGTTTTTCACCAGAGGACTTTTGTCCTTCCCAATAAACCAGGAAGATCAGCGATTGAGACCAGTTAGATGGGACTAAGTTCAGTCCCCAGATTCTAGCTAAGATCTCAGTTACTCTAACTCCTAAAACAGGACCACCATACTTAAAGACTTTCGGAACTAATCTATCTGGACTTGTTACCTTCCCTTGGTTCAAATTGCCTATGACCTTTTCGACCTCACAAGAAGTTGAAGGGCTTAAATCAATTAACCATTCAGAAAGGTTGGAGATAGTGGGTAACTGATATGTGACTAAAGACCGGTTGAACTGTTCCCTAAAGTGTTTTGCCCATCGGTCTAATCGCCTGGACTAAGAGTGAATAATAGTCCTGTTTCTTCTTTCCAAGATAGTCTCACCAACAGCGAGATTTTTAATGATCGTTTCACTTTCACAGTTGACTAACTTCTTATCTAGTTGTTCCTGAAATATATTCTTGACCTTGTCGTTGTTGAGCTGAGCTTTAACGGCATTTTCGCCAAGGCTTTTTACTTCCAGAAAGACGTGGAAAAACATATTGCATTAGAGCGCAATCAGCCTGAGCACGTGCTCCAGAATGGGTGGTAATTTTTTGTCAAGCCTTTCCAAAGATGGCTGATGGTAATGTGGTCTAGTTAAGTTCATCGTTGAGCCGATCATGAAGCTCGCCACGTCCGACAATGTTTTTCCTTATGCTAGAAGTTAGTGCTTGCTAGAGATAGACAACTATCTGAGCACAGTTGCAGTAGATGATCGCCATTAGCTGTTCGCTGAGCTACGGCACATTTAGACCCACCCTACACGCCTTTCAGTTTCGTTTAGCCAACCTACTTGTGCATTAAAATCACCTTCTACTATTACTACAACTAACCAAATTTTGAAGGAAGGTGAAGAGCTTTCCATAAACTTCATCTTTTACTTGATCTGAACTGTAATCAGTGGGAGAGTAAGAAGATTAGTTATTCATTTATTTAAACACATAAAAATTGATCCTGGAGCGCATGTGTAACATCGACTTAGAGTCACACCCTCCATATCTACCAACGCAGTTAAAGCTACGGACTTTAGCTTTTCTTCCTCTCAATTCCGTAAACAACAACCTCGACGCAAGAAGGCAGCGAGTAGGACTTCCCTGAGTGGCTTTATACAGGTAACCATGTGAGAGCATTTAGAAAGGAAGAGCTGACTCAACCCACCCCCAGACGTGCCGGAGCATTTGGCATGTGACTCCCTATGACAATGTAGACTAGTCTTGAAGCAGTGTTTTGTATTTAAATTGAGTACGACGCATCTTTGAAATACTACTCAATGCAGTCAGAAAACTGTATTTTGTCAATCTTTGTCGACAAATGGATCTCGTGGTAAGAGTCCCATCGCCGAAAAATTAAGGGACCTTATTACTTAAGATATGATGATAAAAGAGTTAAATAAGACATGGTATTGTGGAAAGCCTAGATGAACACTACTAGAGGTAGAGAATTCTAATTACAGTTTGCCATTGATTCAAACTCGAAAAATCTGTCTCCTAAAAACGAGCTTTGTTCACATTTTTGGCAGGTCATGAAGGCTCCCAAAAACAATAATACTTTCTAATTCATTGCAAAATTTATAAATTCTATAGCGTTTTAAGTGGAAACTGTTAATTTACACAAGTAAAACTAAACGGAGGTTCAATTACTCTGGACGTATATGGCAACTGTAAATACTAGCATTCTTCCTATCGTTTAAGTGACTAAGGCACAGGTAAACAAGTCTATCGACATGTGGCATAACTCATTAAAAAAGACTCGTAAAGGTTCACTTAAATAACGTGAAAGTTCCATGTAAACAAATATACCACGTTAATGGATTGTGGCTCTAGTATTTTACAGAACTATTTATTTATTTATTTATTTATTTGAACACATAAATATTGGTACAAGAGAGCGCTAATATATATGCGCCACACAAAACAATGGGAATTCGAAGAGAAGTAGAAAGAAAAAAAAACTAAGGAACGCAAAAGAAAAAGAGAGTAATGACGAAGAGGTACAATCAGAAGAAATCTTTCAGGTAAAGGAGACACAACCACTTTTTATGAAGAAAGTAAAAGAAGGTTACAGCAGGATCGCCACTGGCTTCTATTCTGAGCCATATCTGATAACGTCTCTAGCCACTGTGTTGCACCATCTCTCGGACCCCAGACAGGGAGTCGTGAAGGACCAACACAAGCCAGCCCTCTGCAGCTTTCTTTCATGCCACGACACCATCTCATGCACTGACCACCTCTGCGCTTCTTCCAACCAGTCCCAGAGTCGGCAAATAATGCACGACGTGGAATTCTCTGGGACGACATTCGGAGAACATGTCCAAGCCACCGAAGTCGGTGTTTCAAGATGGTGACACCAATTGAGTTATCATCTCTGTGCCCGAACACACGATGCCGAACCTCTGCATTACTGACATGGTGTTGCCACTGAATGTCAGCAATCCTTCGGAGACAGCGATGATCGAACACAGAGTCGTCTAACGCCCTCAACTCGGAGAGACCAGGTTTCACAAGCATAGAGTAAAACTGCTCTCACCGACGCGTTGTAGATCCGACCTTTTACGGCCAGACTAACATCACGAAGGCGCCATAGATCGCCCAGATTGGCATAAGCCGCTCTGGCTTTCACTATTCGTGCATTGATCTCATCACTCACACCCCCACCAGCACTTATGCAGCTACCCAGATACACGAACTTCTCAACTACGTCTATCTGCTCACCGTCCAGGGTGAGTACAGGATTAGAATCCTGCCAGTCTTGTAGGAGTACTTTGCACTTCGAAGGTGCAAAGCACATACCATACCTACGGACATTGATTGCCAACTGATTAAGTGCGGATTGCATGCCTTGGGCATTATCGCACAGTAAGACAATATCGTCCGCATACTCAAGGTTGAGAAGTCTTTCTCCAGGCAACAGATACACACCACCATTACTTACATTCATCAGAGCTGTTTCCAGAATGTCATCGATGGCAAAGTTGAAGAGGAATGGTGAGATTGGGCAACCCTGCCTAACCCCACTGCTCGAATGGAACAATGGAGAGAGGTGGTTGTATGCCCTCACTCTGCCTGAGGTGTTTTTATACAGGGCTTTTAGGATGCTAATAAACTTCTCAGGCACACCCTTCTTCAATAGACAATCCCAGAGAACAGTCCTATCCAACGAATCGAAGGCAGCCCTGATGTCAAGAAACACTACGATTGTTGGCCTTTGAAAAGTATGGCGGTGTTCTAACATTTGGCGGAGGGTGAAGATATGATCAATACATCCTCGACCAGAACGAAACCCAGCCTGCTCCTCGCGAGTCAATCTTTCTCGGGTTTTGAACAACCTACGAAGAATGACGGAAGCCAATAGCTTGGACGCAATCGGAAGTAAACTTATCCCCCGATAGTTGTTACAAGAACGACGTGAACCCTTTTTAAAGATAGGGACAACTATCGACTCATTCCATGACGTTGGTACACTCTCTAGTTCCCAAACCTTTGTAAACAACGTCGTCAATTCCTTAGTCAAAAAGTCACCACCATCTTTAAAAAGAGCCGGAGGTAAGTCATCTGGGCCAGGTGATTTGTAACGCTTCAAGAGTTGGAGTTCCTTGCGGACTTCCTCCTCATTTGGTGGATCAGTCGTCACCGGCCATGGAGGGCAGGACAGTCTGACCGATGTTGCCGGAGCAGCAGGCCAGTTGAACTGCCCTTCGAAAAATTCTGCCCATCGTCCAAGACGTCGATGGATGTTAGTGATTGGCATCCCATCATCCTCGCAGATTGTTTCACTCACACCAGACTTCTTGCTGCCAGTGGCTCGGATGAGTTGGAAGAGCTTCCGGTAGTTACCAGATTCAGCTGCTGCTTCCAGCTCATTAGCACGCATCGACCACCAGGCTTATCGGTCCTTACGCAAGCTTTGCCCGATTTCCTTACATAGCATCCTTCGTTTATGGTCAAACTCACGGTCACCCGGAGTAGACCGACGGGCTTCAATGAGTTGTAAGGAACTAGAAGAAACCCAGTGCTTAAAAGCGGGACGTTTCGCAAACCCACAACTGACTGTTCCCGCCATTTTCATGGCGTCACGCAATTGCAACCAATGCTCATCTATACTTTTCGGTGGAGTGGTAGCTAGCCTAGAGGCTAGCTCGGTTCGATACTTACTTGCAACAGAAGTTGCAACCAGCTTGCTAACATCAATCCGTTGATGGCGTTCACTTCGTTGTCCACTGAAAAGTAAGGCAAGATTGGCGCAGACCAAGGCATGGTCAGAGTCCAGATAGGTACTCCAAAAGGGGTGGCAGTCTTGTACACAACCACGCCAGCGGTAGCTGATCGCGATGTGATCAATCTGAGTCCAGGCTTGAGATGCAGAGGGAGGACGCCAGGTGGCACATCGGCGATGACTGTGCCGAAAGTTAGTGCTAGCCAGAAACAGGTTGTGGTCTGTGCACAGTTGCAGTAGACGGTCCCCTTTATCTGACCTGCGACCAACAAGTCCCCATCGGCCACCTAAACGACTCTCTTCTGTGCCTAGACGCCCGACCTGAGCATTCAAGTCTCCGGCTAGTACTACAATATCTGTCGAACGCACTTTCTGGAGAAGAACTGATAACTGGTGGTAAAACTCATCCTTGATTGCATCCGGGCTGCAATCTGTCGGGGCATAGGCGGAGATGACGAAAAGACATCGTTTCTCACGCCGATTTCTTCTCACTTTCATGGAACTTTCTAATCTAACAGCACATAACCGACTGTTAATGGGGATCCAATCGACTAGTGCTGCCTCAGCTCTAGCGCTTAGTGCGACACCAACGCCAGCAAGACCAGACGAAGATGCCACAGGGTCCCCGGATAAGCGCACGTAAAACAAGCTTTTCGAAGCGACAGATGGAGATCGAATTTGTAGTACTTCGCCAGAGTCTTGAATACGGGTCTCGGATAGACAACACACGTCGATATTAAGACTTTCCAAAGACATAGCCAGCCCTATCTGTTGTCCGACCTGCATAAATGTGCGAACGTTGGAGGCAGCCAGTTTGAATGGTGCACGTGGTTTCAGAAAATCTGCTTCAGTCCTCGTATTCGGTGGTAACATACAATTTTCAACCGGACAGTGACTCGAGAACGTTTAGATACAGTCGGAATTCCACCAAAGACGAGCCGCTGTATAAGTATAAAAGAAGGTGAATGATGTGGAAAATAATAATAATAATAATAATGATAATAACAATAATGACAATAATAGTAGTAATAATAATATTAGTATTAATAATGACAATAATTGTAGTAATAATAATATTAGTATTAATAATGACAATAATTGTAGTGATCATAATTTGAATCGATTGATTGTTTTTCAAAGCGACAAAAGTAATTTCCATAGACATAAAGAGTTCATCATTTGTGTGTGGGCTGTGATACTGCCCGGGTGCCCAAACCGAAGCAGAACTATAAACCACTTTTATTGTAGTGCTATGAATTCTCTGCTGAATTATTCAGATTTGGGATTTTTCATTCGAGACAGTGAAAAATAAGTTTCTAGACAAATTCGGCATTTGGTTTTGTAGCCACGTCGCCGACAGATACAGTAACACGCACGGGACATAATTTCTGAGGTCAAACACTTTGTTACAAATGTAATAAAACTCAGAGGCTGATAACTTTTAGTTGCTTTTAATCTAAATTCAAAAGTGTTGACGTAAATACGTTTTAACTTAGCTATGCAACATCGGAAATAATAACAAGGTAATGTAAGATAATATGTTGTAAGCGCGAAAAGCTTTCGTTTCTTAGATTTATGAGCAGAAAGATATCACTCATATAACAAAATCACGCATGTAAACATAGTTTCAGTCATGGACCATTACTACTGCTATGACAGTGGCCGGATATCCATTTTTTCAGAAAACAATGGTTCAATAAAACCTAGCAAAGTTCATTGCATAAAAACGTTAAGAACGCAACAATACGTAAATTTATAAGGCTCGAATTGACGAACTAACCAGTATGGGTAACCTGCGATCTTGAAATTAAGTCTGTAAGGGCAATAATCCAATTCTCCTTATCTTCTTCGGACAACGCCTTGAAGTGATGCTTTCTTCCAGAGCTCTCCGTCAAAATAAAGGAGCATCCAGACTCCTGAACACTTAGGTGGGCGTTCGTTAAGTCAAAAGTCCCACGACAATGTCGCCCGACTGCATCCGGTTCTCTTAAAAACCAAATTAATCACAGATTATATTTACCGGTAGTAGCTGAGTAAATTATCCTGTACTAAAAACCAACGTTTTTTATAGCCTTTAATAAGATTTGTCCACTTGTAAAGCCACCCTGCGAACGGTTCTGCGGTGCTCATTATATTGAAAACATAATCAACTTTCCCGAACCGAGAAACGTCTTGGTAGCGTAGCTGTCAAGATAACGCGGTTCCCATAGTCCAATGGGTCAGCTTCTCAGTCCGCAGAAGTGAAGTAAGGAAGTCAATTGACTTATAATAATGGTTGCAATTTTCAGTACCAATGAAATCCAACCTCACTCAGAATTCATCTGGCCTATCTTATAAAACATACCAAGACACATCAACTTATTTCCGTTGTCTTACCGTAGAATACGGGGTGATCTAATATTGGCTTATCGTATACTAAACGATGACTTTGGTATTAGCATGTCTCATCTTTTGCTTCCGTCTAGAACCGATAATTTGAGAGGACATTCGAAGAAAGTTCAAAAACCGAGATCGAACCGTTTACGTCTGGAGTTCCGTTTCTCGCACCAAGTAGTGAATTACTGCAATTCTCTACCGGAACACGTAATATCAGCACCGTCTGGTAATATATTCAGAAGGAGGTTGAACCTCCACAGTATTACAAACTGCAAGGATTAATATAGGTCGATAGACCTCCTATCCTTATTACTGAAGACTGAAGACTGAAGACAAGGTGCTGATAATACATGTTCTGGCGGAGAAGTCCACAACTCGATGCAAGAGACGGAAATGCAGACGTAAAAGGTTTGATCTTAGTTTTTGAACTTTCTTAGAATTCCTTCTTAAATGATCGGTCCTAGATGGAAAGTAGAGATAAGATATATTATTACCGTTATCATCGTGCATACGGTAAGTCATAATTTAATCACCTCAAATCCTGTGATAAGGTAACAGAAATGTGTCTCATTCTGTCATCATAAGATAGACAAGTGAAAATTTTTGTCATCCCGGTTCTCCATCGTTAATTTGCCTTAGCATATCCGCTGCGTACATGAAACAATGACTTTCCGATTGGATCCCATATTCCAAATCAACCTCATAAACGTCAGATACAATACCCTAGACGTTTCTTGATCCACGTTATATAATGACCTACAAGTACCTCATAAGACCCCAGTGCCTTTGACAGTGACAGGCTTACGTTTACTCATAGTTCTAGGGCCATTGCTTATTCTGACTCCTAGATTTTTATAGTCCTGTAGCGGTAAATAAATCCCCAAAATAAATAGCTTGACTCCTCGTAAACTGCATCGTTCTTATCCAGCCGTCCTGGAAAAGAAAAAGAAAGTGTAAGTGCATGTTGAAATACTCTCGTATGTGCGTAAAAACACAATGTCGGCGAAAAAGTGGAAAATATACTCAAGCACACGTAATAGCGTTAAAAAATGTTTTATTATATCTCCACAAAACACATTCTGATATTATATTTTTATTTTTATTTTAAAAATACATTTAAAAAACATTTTTTTAACACTATTACGTGTGCTTGAGTATATTTTTCATTTTTTTCCCCGACATTGTGTTTTTATGCACATACGAGTGTATTTCGACATGCACTTACACTTTCTTTTTCTTTTCCAGGATGGCTGGAAAAGAACGATGCAGTTTACGAGGAGTCGAAATTTTCGTGGTAACTATGTTGTACCTCGGTCCCATATAGTAAGGAAAGACGACCAGACGCTGCTAAACTTAGTAAGCTATCAGAAGAGTGTTTACCAACGACAAACTCGTTGGGTTTAAACTTCTGGCTGGCCACGTCTTAGGGTCGTCACTGCCCCACTAGGGGGGAGTGATCTGTAGTGGTAAATAAATCCCCAAAATAAATAGCTCTGTAAGTTTTCGACATTGGATGCTGACCATATGTTTTAGTGGACTCATCAAGCTGAAGGCGCTCGGTCATGCATCCACACCAGATCACGTGTGGTAACGCCGTGCTCAACATCAACCGCAATCGCTAGCCAGATTAGATCAGAGAATTCCGATATATTGGTCATCGCCAAATACACTCTTCCGATCTCCTCGACTCTATCTTTTGATTTCTCTGGGTGGGAACGAATCATATTAGAAGGTGTTACTGGTAGAAACGTTGTCAAACACTGAATACCTGTGACATCATCAGTCCATTACTTTAGGTGACTCAATTCAACTTATTGTGTAGTGATATAAATCGTCGAGGTTATTTATTTTCATAAGCACTCTCTGGAATTAACTTCCGGTAACCACCTAAACATCTAACCAACCTGTTAATTAATATCATCCTGTAATATTGTTTTGCCCGACATACCGCGTATGGGTCGCCGAATCTTGATGTGCTCCGCATGTGGCAGAATAAATTACCATGAAACAATTAGTAAGTTATTCACACAAGGTAAAAAATTGAAAGACAATGATTATGCTTTTGGAGATTCCACTTTTTACGAGTTCTCATTCTGACAAAGCCTCGTCTCATATTACTGAGAAAGTCACTCATCCAGTTCATGACTTCGTGATGAATACCAAAACGTTCAGTTAATAATTAGGGACCCAGGTGAGGGGCCTTTACAAGACTTATTAATTATTTATTTTAACACATAGAGGAGGCACTAAAAATACATATGCGCCACACAAATCTCATTCGATATGTATGAGGGCTGTGATACTGCCCGGGTGCCCAAACCGAAGCAGGTAGTTTTCTTAGGGGCCCACACCCCGAGCCTTCGACCTAAAGATCTAACCGACAAGGTAGTGAAGCATCGTAAGGAGATGCAGTACCATGGAAGCCGGTGACCAACGATTGGTTCATACGCCATTTGTTCCCGCAGGATCCAGGAGCCAGCCCATGTGCACCATTGGCTTGGAATCCGGTTAAAGCGCCGGATATTCGCTTTTCGTCCTCTCATTTTTGTAAACAACACCCCCGCCATGAGAAGGCAATGAGTAGGACTTCCCTGGCAGAGGCTATATACGCATGGCCATGTGAGAGCAGTTCGAGAGGGAGAGCGGACCTTCCCCACTCTCGGTCGTACCAGGGCCTTAAGATGAACGAAAGGCTTTTAATAAAACCATGTTCTTCCTTGACTAAGTGATCAGTTCCTTTCACATAATTCAGAATAATCTTTTCTACCGAATTCACGGTTACGCCGGTTAGTTTGGATGGTAGATAGTTGCTATGTGTTTACTCCCCGCCTTATAAGCTGGACTTATAAATGCACATTTCTCGTCTCTTGATAGTTTGGACTGCCTCACAAACATATCAAACATCAATCCTAGAGGTTCAGCAACTACATTCTTTCAGGATTTATGGTTCCAGAATAGATTTCGTCAGTAACACTGGACTTATATGATTTAAAAAGTAACACAAAACTAAGGGGTAACACCCAGAAACTGGAGACACAACTCAGCAGAACAGACTGCAGACATGACTTATAGTCCTTAAGAGTAGTCAAATGCTGGAATTCGCTGCTAGTCCAAACGACTTCCCAGGCTTCTTTTAAAAGGAAACTTGACATATTCTTGAGGATTAAGGATAATATCTTACTATAATTTACCAGCTTTTACCTTTTCCACTTTTATCGATAATATACCTTGGTTCCTGCCTGCAAGTATCGGTGATCCACTGCTACTACGCTTTACATTAGTTCATATTCTTTCAATAATCGTATCTGTACTGGTCAGAGCCTGTAAAGATAAACATATTGCTATACTTTTCCCTACGTCTATGAACTTTCTTGACTTTTAGCTATTCATTGTGGGCAGCTATTAGTTTTACATGGTGCTGAGAACGGTTTAAACGGGGACGTAGCCAAGCCAAATGTACCCTCAAATGTCAACCGCGCTTTTTCAACCAGTGATCTAGTATCCACAGACAAATCCATTTGTTGTGGCACAATCATGTGTTTTTTTGTGCTCACACTTCGGCATGGTTGAACCTGACCACATAGTTTATCAGAAGCTATAAGCTTGAATGAAAAACAGCATGATCGCTACTGGATAACAGTGGGAGAATATTCAAATATGTAGTATTCTTGGCCTCACGAATGATTACCAAGTCTAGCAAAGGTCAGTGGTTTGGAACAAAATGTCTGGGTTCGGATACACACTGAACTAATCTCAGGTGAATCAAAATCTCCTAACATCAGGCAGCTATTGTTTTAACTACATGTTCTAATGTTCTTTAAAACAGAATCATCGACTAAGCAATTTAGGCTGCGATAGGTGACACTTAGTATAAATGTACAACCTTCAAAAGTGAGTTCACAATGATTTCACAGTTTCCATTATCACGAGACTCGTATAAGAAGAGAAAGGTTTTCATATTATCAGCCGTGCATTAAGGGACTCGAATTTCTTTCTTGTATCTCTCTTTATCACTTTTTAGGGTGTCATATCCTAATAATTCTGAGGTGACCTCAAAGCCATAGACTTACCAAGTTTTGGTCATAACTATAGTGAGTGGCTCCAACTTGTCCACAAATACTCTTAATTTACGGAATTGGCCTCATAGACTACGAGTGCTTGTATATAAAACTCCTATCGGGAACAACCTATCCTTACGGGTTTCAGTAAGACCTGACTATTAGGAAATCCAGTTCAATCAGAGCCGCCTCCATTTGTTGACGGAACAGATGAAGCTTGCAGTTAGAGAGATTTTATGTCTGGGAGTAATGGGCTACCGATAACTCCAAGTAGAAACGGATAAAAGTTGGAAGATTACTAATAAATCAGTGTAAACTGTTGCCATTTGTAAGAACTCTGCGAAATTGCTTTGAATGCCTCAATTGTTAGCGAGTGATGACCAAGCACAAAGAGCAGGAAGTACAGTTAAATACAAGCTTGTGACTATTGCCTTTAGGCTTTGTGTTAAACCGAACTCAGAAGTGTTGGACGTTATATTGCTGACTATCACGATAGAACGAGTCAGACTATGATGTGACTTCTACGTGAGATTTTATAGACTGAGTGGTCACAGCATAACAAATCTACAATTTTGCGATTGGGTCTATTATTATGGTAGCAAAGATAAATGCACTAATACCAAAAACATCATAATTCTCCAAGTATTCCACACTGACCTTAAAAGTTCAATTATCTTGATACGTGTTAAACTAGTTTATCAGTAGTAACTGAATATCTGTCTGTTTGAGCTTATTAGTACGGTGGATATGACTAATCTTATCCAAACCTTTCGAGAGTCCGAGACACAGTATGTCTA